CACAAAGTCCTTCACTTCCAGTGACAAAAATGCAAACACTGGTGTGTTATCAGCATTTCTCTCCCAGGTTGAGAGCAAAACACAGCACTATTCTAGCTACTAAAAAGAAACCCAGCTCAGTTCCAGCTAAAAACCAGGACAGGGAGGACCAGATTTAAGAAAAAATAACAATGTATATTTGGGTTTGATTTTTGCAGACTGAACCTGATTTTCTTCCCACAAAACACTGGATTTCTATGGTGACAGAGACCCTCTTTAGTATTGTGAATAGCCGCTATCACCCTAAAGGTCAAGTTTTCCCATGGTTCTACCAGGTATGTGTTGTGGTGTTAGACAAGAGAATACATCTGTTTCATATGTGGAGTTCTTAGCGTGGAGTTTTCTGTTTCTGTTTGCCCTGTAGTAGTTTTAATACAGGAGAATCAAAACTTTTATTGCTTTTGTTCTTTTTCTTTCATTGTGTTTTCTGCTTATATTTGGGGTTGCCTTGAGTTTTTGTCTTTATTACCAAAATAGGAAAAACCACATGTGAGAATGCATGAATGAAAGAGATTATAAAAACAAAAAAACCCCCTTGCAAACCTAGCATATTCAGTATGTATGTACAAAACAAAACCTTCTAACATGAACAGACTCTCCTCAAACCACACTATCAAACTCTTGCATGATTCTGACACCATTTCTTAGGGCTCTGAAATGCATGCTTTCTCAAAATCTAATAGTTATGGAGCCAGTGATTCATTTTTTACAGTATCTTTTGAACCCCTGAGGGCCAGTAGAAGTTGTATCATATGTGCTTCTAGAGTGATACCCATCCTGAAATTTTCAAGCCATATAAGTATCAGGCAGTTCCTAAGTAGGACCTGGAGACAGACTGAAAGCTCAGTATAGACCTTAAGGAATAGGTATTGCTAACCTAAAACAACCAGGGTGGAGATTCTGTACCTCATGGATGCATAAGGGAACTTGAGTCCTACAAGGCCAAATACCAGCCTGCTAATGTCTCGTAATATTTTCTAACTGGAACTTCATTAACTGCATTAATGAACTGCATTAATCTATTAGTGAGATGTTAGCATCAAAAAACTGTAAATTACTGATGGACTTGGCTCTGGCATGTCACCCCTGTCATTAGTGATAAAGGACATGTATCACAAAATCAAGTGTAGTGGTAAATAAATACTAGACTGATTGAACGTAAGGGAATTCAACTACTTGGTTGGCACCAGCAGTTCCTGCCCAATTCTTCTGTGACTTCTGCCTTTGAAAATAATGCTGTTTAATAAAGGTGGTTTTGAGATGGAAAAATGTGACAATGTTTCATTTCTAAAATCCACTCTGTTTTACAAAAAAAAAATAATCTTACGCTTGTAAAATTGTAAGGCACACAACAGAAATCACTGTCTTACAGAGTGTGTTGCATCCTGATGGGATTTTTTTTTCTTTTCTTTTTCAGCGTTACATGTAGAAGTTGATAAATATACATTAGGCTATTGCTGACAGTCAGTCCATTGCTTTATAAGTAGAGGTAGTTGTATGGGTTTTACCTTTCAAAATCGTAAGAAATTAAAAACCTTTATAAGGGATCTTTCTTCTAGAAAGTGTCTCTACTGGTTATCATGCAGGTTCTCATTATATTTTGTCATCTTAGGTGTGATGCTTTTAAGGTAGTGCTTTTTCCAATTCACTAAATTCTTGGTGTGTCATAATTAACAGAAGTACATTAACATCATGGCTGGTTTCTGTTTGTCCTTCTGATAACCCTGCTGGATATTTTAGCAAGGAAGGTGAAAACTAAAATAGACCAATATATTTATGTGCAGACTAGCTGTTAAATTCTAGTTGCATCCTGTCTTATCCTTTGTTTTCAGTTTCATACTTAACAATTTTATTTACACTTAGAAATTATATTCTGAGTTACCTTAGTTTTAAGCTACTTACAAAGTAAGGCAGATGGAAAAGTTACCATAGGCAATTCCATTAAATACTATTTATTGCGAGACTGCAATACATCTGTGCTCCTGTTTGCTGTATAGATATTTATTTTAAATTCATAAAGTGCTAAGTGTTACTACCTGGAAAACAATTTTATTTCCCTCCTCCAAGAGGAAAAGAGAAAAAAAAAAATATTTTTAATGTTTTTTTCTAGAAATCCTATTCAGGTGAAAATACTGCTAGTATTATAGCTCGTTCCTGTGCAGCCACTGCTTTGTCTCTCCTGGTGCCAGTTTTCATTGTATCATGCAAGGAGAAGGTTGAGGAGGTCCTGAATATGCTGACTGACAGGTTACCTGGGAAACCAAATGCTGATGAGTCTCAAGCTGTTCAAATCCACATGGGCCTTGGTTTGGGGATGTTTATCTCACGTTTGTATGAAGAAAAAGTCAGGTAAGGATTACCACACGTCATGTAGGTGTGCAAATAACTTCATTCTTTTGCCTGCGTGTGGCCTTAAGTTCTGAGGAATTAAAGTATTTATAAGTCATGGGCAAATGATTCTTGAGGGGCTTTGCAGCATTTCTTGAAAGGTGTCTTTTATTATCAGTCTTCACCACCCACCCCTCTAGTGCTGTCCTGGATGTTTTGCTGTTCTTTCAGGATGAATGTTTTTTTTTTTCATAATATCCTAAGGTACATGTGCAAAGCAGTTAGCTAGGAGAGCCCACACAAATGCTTTTAAAGGGGACTAGCTGCCCTAGGCAACTTAATTGTAATATAATTCATAGTTCTCGTCAGTTCCTTTCAAAGTGGTGCTCTGGACATTGGATAGTGTCCACTTATATCTTGTGACCTGGCATATGGGGATGGAGCTACAACAGAAGTGGTGTAATGGGCTGTCTTTAAGGCACACTGTTAGAGCTGTGTTGGCGGCAAAGAGGTGTTCTGAAGTTCATAGAAAATGTCTCCTTTACAGAAGGGTTGGCCTCAGTTGCAAATTTCTGATGATTCCAGAGAAATTAAGAAGTAGGCTTGGCTTTATACTTCTCCATCTTCTTGACTACTAGGGATTTGGTCTGCCTATATACCCATAATAAACGTTTAATTGGTGCACAAGCACAAGTGTCAAACAGATTGGGCTGGCATTTTTTAATTTGCTGAGTGAAGCTGATGTTTCTGACACACTTGCCTTTGTTAAAACACTGTGCAGCTTTGCTCTGTTCTAATCTTTGTGCTTTGAGGTCTTGATTCCTTGCTGCCTCTGACTCAGCCACGCAGTCTGGGGATGAATTGTCTCTGGATGATTAGTCAGTGGTGGCAACTGAGCTACACACAATCGTTAAAAGGTTCTTAAAAAGAGTGACATTAGATCACCTTGGTATTTTGGAGTATGTGAATCTTTCTTTTGGGTTTTTGTGGGGTTCTGGGGGTTTTTCTTGGCAAGGGGTGTTGAAATTAATAACTATATCTAAAAATTTCTTATGGACTGTCTTGGTTTTCACTCTTTCACTACCTTGCATAATTTCAAAGCTTAATCTCACACATTCTTCCAGCATTAACTTACAACAGCAAAACTTGTAGGGATGTAGCTATAGCTAATATCAAATCATAGCCTTAGTTTGTATTAAAGGTGTCCTATTCATTGAGAAAATTGTATACATGTTTTATAAGAGGAGTCCCTATGATGTCTTTGGAGTGAAATGTAAATGCTTCCCTTTTTATAAGTTAGGCAAAAAGATGGAAAGAGAGAAAGATTTGTGAAGCCAGTATCTTAAAATGTCATAAATTTTCAACTTATAAATAGTTACAGGTCTAGCTGAGATCATGTTCCATCAGTATCCTCCTCCTACTGTCAGGCATATTTGACAAATCCTGGGTGATAGGTTTCTTTCTGGGTTTTTTAGCAATGGTTGCCAGTTAAGGTCTGAATGTGTTTTTATTGTGTATATATGATTATGTTTATATGAATGTGACACAAATGACCAGTCATATAAGTTATTGCTTACAGACTAGTATGAGAACCTGTTACAGGAGGAAGAGAGCTCTATTTACTGGCACATTCCCTCTTGGCAGGATTTAAAGAGCAGACCTGTGTTTTGGATTTCTTTGGTTTCTGTTTTGTTTTGTTTTTGTAGTGATGTACCTGGTCAACAGATGAACCTAGTTCTAATGAAGTCCCTGGATGCGCTGGAAGACTGCTGCTTTGACACCAGTCTGGAGTACAAGTGAGTTTCCTTCACTACTCACTACTGATGATATTTTGTTTTATTTTGAGCTCTACCTTTTTAATTCATGCTTTTATTCCTTAATTCTACACAGAAGTGTATAAAGATAAGGAAACAGCGTGTTTTAAGTACTTCTGTAGAATCACCAACCTGTGCAGACTGGCAGGGACCTTCAGAGGTCCACATCCCTCCCCAAAACAGACTCAGCCACGGACGTGGGCAACCTTGCCCAAGGTTTACAGTCAGGGTTTGAAACCCCCAAGACTGGAGACAGCACAACGTTTCTGGGCCTTGGCTTTGCTTTTGGGCAGTCCTTGTCTCCCTGTGAACATCTAATGCTTCAGCTTGTGCCTGCTGCTTCTCGGCCTCCCACCACGCAATAGCACAGCTACATGTCAGTCCTTTCCTGTCAGTGCCGGAGATGCTGTTGGGTGCCCCCAAAGCCATCCCTTCTCACAGATGAACGAGCTGTGGTCCCATAGCCTCTGTTGTGGAGCTACCAGCTACTTCCCCTAGCTACCTCAGTAGCCTCCTCTAAGTTTGTTCCAGTTTTGTTGGTGTCTTTCCTGCATTCAGAGCAGTATTCTAGATGTGCTGGTGAGCACAGTGTAGAGAGGTGATCCTTCCCCTGGCTCATGGCTGTGTCCTGCTGACGCTGCCTGGCTGCATGCCTGGCCCTGGCTCAGCTTGCTGTCTGCCAGTGGCCAAGGCTGTCCCCAGGAGCTGATGCCCAGCCCCTCTGGTCCCAGCCTGTCTGTTGCCAGGTGCAGGACTGTGAGTTGGTGCTTGCTGAATTTCAGGATCTTCCTGCTGGTTTATTACTCTGTGTACCATCTCTTCTAAGTGAGTGTGTCCAAAATTAAATAAATATATATAATACTTTATATATAAACATATATAAGTTTATGCATATGTGCATGTACCTAACACACACACAGTTTTTTCCATACAGTCCATAGGGCAAGGTCAAAAGAAACCATGACCACCACTGCTAATCCCTGCCAACCCACAAATAAAAACCTTGGGCATGTCTAGAGAACCATGAAGTCTTGCTCACAGGCAGTGGGAAGATACCAGTGATTCTAGACACAGCGTGGCTCATCTTACCTGCATGTGTGTGTTAATGAAAGATGTTTTTGAAAGTCCTTCCTTGGTGCTCTTCAGTGGTTGCCAGGGTTTTCAGTGAAGTCCAGAGGCTTCTGTGTTGGAGCCTGTTACTGGAATGTGTGTGTACGACACAGTGTGAGCTCTGGGAGCAGCTGCATCACATTAATTAGTGATCTGGGAGAGCCAGGCTATTAATTTAACACCTGTGGATGGCATGTTAAATATTGAGTAAAGCAAATATATTTCATTTAACCAACTGATGTCATGCCTCAGGTGTTGCATAGAGAGGAGCAGCCCACCAGCAGGGCAAGAAATTATTGAAAAGTATGGCACAATTACTAGCATTGGCAAACATGGAGTAATTGAACAATAAAACACAAGTCAGATGCCATTAAACAACTAACATAACATAGTAGTATATGTCTTCCATGGTAGGCATTTCCCTTTTAAATCAGGGAAGGAGCTGCAGTGTCTGGAGTGCCTCAATGTGGGTGCATAGGGTTTTAGTTGATTTTGAACATTATTCTGCCCAGTTTTTCCCTGTTCAAATGAGACAGAGCAATAGTTCCTGTTTGCCTTTGCCCTCCCCTTCTTCAGTGCACCTTCTGAAAGCTGCGAGAGGTCACAGTTGCACACCAGTGGGCTGTGAACCCGTGTAGCTTAGTCTGGATTTGGGTTCCTCCAGAGTGGTCCAGGCTGAGACATGTGGTGCACAGGGGGCTGCATCAGCTGCATCACTTTGTTACACCCGTTAATGCGACTGTTAGCTGGAGACAGATGCCTCGCAGAAAAGCCAAACTAGACTTGTCTGCCGGCGAGAGGTTGCCAGAAGAATATGAAATAGTGGCAAGCAGGAGAGGGAAGATTGGAGGATAGGCAGTTTTTTATGCTGGGTGACATTTTATTTTATAAAATTTTATTAACTTTATGGTGATATTTTTTAAAGTTTAATGGTGGTTTGGTGTCTAGTGCGAGCACTCTTTGTGTGCAAAGAAGTAATGTAAAGCTGTAGATGTTGCAGATTTGTCCAAGTTGGGCATTTGTCCACTCTTAAACCATTCCAAAGCAAGGGCCTTTCCAGCCTTTCATGCAGCATGATAGATAGGCTGTCACGGGTAGAGTCACAGGGGGTTATGCACTTCACTTGTAAGAGAGATGTAGTAATATATTTATTGATATAAAATAGTGAATTAACAATGTTCAAGAGTTAATGCAACATTCATTTAACAAGATTTGATGGCGAGGTTCGCTTGATTATTTACTGCATAGAGGGCAGGGTCAGACAAAACCGTCAGGGAGACAGACCCTCCTGTTGAGTCAGAAGGTTCGGCAAGGACCCCCTTGCTTTCTAAAGTCCTCAGAGAGCCGTCTAGGTGCAGCCAGATCCATTCCCAGTCCCAGACTCGATCAACGCCTTATACCTAAAGGATTATGTGTGTGTGCAATCAATCCTTTGTATCCCTGAGCTGAGATTGTGCCGTTTAGTCACTTTCAGTAAGTGATTTGTTGCGGCAAGGAATCTCTCAGCCTCGAGG